GTGTGGCATATGTAAGTGATCACCACAAGCTCCTTGATAAAATCTAAAGAAAGAATCAGCAATATTGCCTCTCTGTTCCATTTCTATAAATATTTTCATAGTAATTGTTCAAATGATTTCTTCACTATGGTACCTAAACTTTTTCAATTTAAACGCAGTACTAGACTGGTAGTCAAGATTTCATCAATTTACAGTAGGGCTGGTTATATGTAGCCATAAGTTCTATGCTAACACTTTCTTTTCTCACAATTATCACTTGTGAAACTCCCTTCTGGTTCCATGCTTTCCAGCCAAATTTAATGTCCAAAAATTTAAATGTAATGTCAATGACTATCTACTTTTCTGATTACTCTTTTCTCTTCTTGCTCATTATTGATGTTTTTGTTCCTAATTCTTCCATACTCAGTAACTCTCTGTGTCTTAGAGAGTTATAATAATACCAGTAAATGTAAAGAATATAATCTTATATCTATAATTCTCAAAATGTGTGTGTGATCGGATGTTGTTTATGCATTTCCAAAGTTTTCATCAGATTTTGATGAAATTTTTTTGTTTGATAGATAATTCTTCAGTGCTGGTTTTGAGTCCAAATTGTTGGTGACAATGGCTCTCCACTACCTCCTGTCCATTATAACTCTCAGCAACGTTTTACTATTTACTATCTGTTTTTGGATATATATCTTTCATAAAAACTTTAATAAAAATAAATAGTTTAAATTATTGCAATAATATTATTTATTATTATACAGTTCCCTTTTCAAAAGACACAATGTGAATGTCTGCTTACCATCGAAAATGCATGACTTTTAATCTCTTCAAAAATAGTTACCTAGGTTTTGTGCAACCCGCTATTTTTTGCATAAAAAATGATAATGAAAACACTATACTTGAGTATATACTGTAAGTCCCAAGAGGCGCTCAATACAAATGTTTTCTCTATATAAATACTCTTATAGAACTATAAAGACAGAGGAGAGTTAAATACAAGTTTTGACCCGTGGAAAGTTCGCGTTTTTTTTCCTATGTTAAGATTCTGAAGAATCAATGCTTAATTGAATAAACTCATGGCGAATTCTATGACAATAACGTATTCGTAAAGATTCACTTATTAAATATTTGAGCTTAACAACTTCAGCAAAATGTTGCAAAAACAATCATAAATGAATGTTGGTCGTTAGTTTAAGAAGAGGATACAAATGAAAAGATTTGAAATTGAGAACTTTTTCCAATTCACAGAAACAGCTATTAGACTTTTTTTCTTTTATTCATTTTCTGACTGAAACCAAGTAGTGTCTTTTCTCCTTTTTCCACGCGATTTAAACGGAATAGTCCATTATTTATGAGGTATTGGCAAGGCGTAACGGTCGTGAGAACTAATGTAGGTCCGTAAAATCTCGTGTTTTCGAACATAAACGAGATATTCGCCTCGGTAATTTAAACAATGCTTTATTTGTACACACAACTAAAGCTGATCATAATTTTGATTTTGATTCTGTGAAGATTTTAAAATATATTCATAATAAAAATCTTAGACGGATTTATGAAGCAGGCATAATATCTATCTCACGCACGGTGAATACTAGACCCGGCTTCTTTAATATTTCCCCTTTTCTAGCAAGATTAATGCTCGACAAACGTACTTATAAATTTTAGATTAAAATAAAATTCTTTTTCATTTTTCATTTAAAATATACTCTATTTTAGGAATACGTTTTCACAACATCGCCCACGTGACGCCGACGTGATCATAGTGTGAAACGGAACGATGATCTTAAAAAAAATTTCAGTTATTCTGTTTTGATTAGTCTTACTCTTATGTCCATTGTCTTTTCATGTTGACTTGAATATCGTCTAATGTTAATTATGTTTTAAAAATATGTCCTGAAGAAGGTCTACTAGACCGAAACGTCTGCTGACGTTGACATTAAATTAACATTAAAACAGCATAATTGCATATTAGGATTTTTGTTTTTCCGTATATTTTTCTTCATATATATATATATATATATATATATATATATATATATAATTTCGAAGTGCAACTTAAAGTTTCGTTGTTTGCCAACTCATCAGGCACAAATTATTACTAAAGTAATATTAAAGTAATAATACGTACCTGATGAGTTGGTAGAACAACGAAACTTGAAGTTGCATTTCGAGCGTAGGTATATGTATATTTATTAATATATACTTCTTAGGTCTGTCTAACCACATTGAGAACTTTTTTGTTTACACCTTAAATTGAGTAAATATTTATTCGCTTACCTGTGTATGCACGCTAACGCACGTATTTACGGTTGTTAATATCTAGGTATTTGGTTTATCTACATTTTGTTTGGTGATTAAGTACGGTGCATATATATACATATAACATATATTGTTAAATATAACAGACAATGAATGTCTATTATGTCTGATCAGGAGCCGTTCTAAACTTCGTATGTTTGCTTTAATATCGGGTGAAAATAAAGATAAAAAATTGTCCAATATTTGGTAATTTATTTTATTAAGCTTGTCCTTGATCTAAGCTTTCGGCTCACATGAGCCATCTTCACAGTGGTCATACGGTTAGATCAAAGACCAGCTTAATAAAAACATATCCCAATGTTGGACAATTTCCGTCTTTATTTTCATGCGAAATTAAAGCAAACATACGAACATTAGAACGGCTCCTGATCAGACATAATAGACATTCATTATCTGTTATATTTAACAATATATTTAAATAATGATCAGCTGCCCCAATACACTATATATATATATATATATATATATATATATATATATATATATATATATATATATATTTCAAAGCGACATAAAATTTATTAAATTCTTTTTTCGTTTCAGATATTGTTAAACTTCATCTGTTGAAGAAATCCCATCCAGAAAATGGCTGCATTAATTTCATCGGTTTTTGCAAAGCATTCTGGGAAAAGTTTTTCGACCATTCTCTTCTGCGCAGTCCTGTTCGAGTCAATATCAATTTTTGCAGCTAACGACTTTTGCACCCAATATAACCAGATTATTTTAAAACCAACAAGCATCTATAAATATTGCAACATTAAAATTGATGCAAATCATACAAAATCAGCTCCAACTGTTGCTTTCCCGCAGGCTATAAACATGACGTCATTCAATTTGACAACAATCGTCATGTTATCTCCAAAGGGACATAACTCTGTACACTGGTTACGAATAGATATACCAAAAGACCTACTGGAAGTGGGTACTTCAAAAGGAGACGATGACATCTACCCTTACAAAGGACCAAACCCTCCCGAAGACACTGGCGTATTTGATTATCAGTTTTATTTGCTGAGTCAGCCTATGGACAGTAATATCAGCATTACCCCGTACATTGGACAGTACAGAAAAGATTTCAAACTGGCAGAATTTAAGAAAGGTAACAACATGCAGATACTGGGAGTTTTCCAGTATAAAAGTGAGTACGGATATAATGGCTCAGGACGACCATCCTTCACTGTCATACTCGGGATGATTTCTGTTGCCCTGACAGTTTTTTTTAGTCTCTAATGACTGAAGGTACTGACACTGAGGCCGAGGAGGGAAAAGTCATTTATAGACAAAACAAATAATTAATTTGCGATTTTAAAACATTTCATCATAAAAACTAAAGTAACTGAATAAAAACAACAAAAAAGATCAACATTTTCACAAAAAGTCACACACACTTGCATACATCTGTGAGTTCGTGTATGTGTAAATTTATATATATGGTTGTACTAATATGTAATTACTAGTATATTAAAATAAAAACATATCTTAACATTTTTCGTTGAGTAAACTCATTATCAACGAATGATTTCTTTGCAACATGTTTAAAAACTTATCAGAAGATACATCCTTGTGCAAATTAATGGAAACGAAACGATAATTCCATTATTATTTTCATTGCTTCCGTATTTTTCCAAGGAAACATGACCCCGTGAACATGTTAGTACTTCGTATGTCCATTCTATGAAGTCGTTCCTTGAAGATTGACCACGGATTCTCGATTAAATATAAATCAGGAGAGTTTCAGGAAGAATCTATAGTACTTTGATTTGCCCACTGGTAAGGCTTGCCAGTGTGTTTGTGCAGCGTTACCATTTCTTACTCTTCCTTGGAGTAACGTCCATTGGATACGATGGCCGTCGGACAACTAATCGACAGTCAAGACAGTGTCTGGGCGTCATAAAATCTGATGCAATCACGGATGACGCAATATTTTAAAGGCTAAACAAATTTCATCATACACCTCGAAAATAGATTCATATTACTGTACACCACTGAAAATGACGTAATCTGAGGAAAAAATAGAAATCGATTATGCCCTGTCACTCCAGCGGACCTGAAACTGGCCGTATGTTGAAAGAAACGAAACTAAAGGGGCTGTTTCAATTAATTTGTACAACGATGTATGTTCTTATTTAAAACCTAAAAAAAAAAAAGGAATTCTATATGTTCTCATGCTAAGTACTATCTTTATTCAAGTAATATCAGACCAAAAATGGTGTATTGCTGTCATACTTGGATTAGAGCTTTACAAAAGTCTGATCAAAACTGGAGTATTGCTCCTCTGTGCAGGAGGTGCATAATCCCCACCCTATAGACCCTTTCTAACAGACGAAACGTCGCAAGTTTCTTGCTACTGTATCGTTTTTTTTAAATACCCAAAGCAAGGCAATAAAGCCTCTAAGATGCAAGGGGTTACTGAGTATTTATTGATTGATTAAGTTTCCTACAGCTTATCAAACCAGTGCAGGTTATTTAAAAACAGAAAATATTTTTAGATATTAAGAATTTTTTGTGGAAATAAGGGTTTTGTGATACAAGTCTTACTAGTTAAGTTGGGGGGGGGGAAGACGACGTGGTGCATACCGTATCCCAAGAATATTTGCGCGTAAGTGAATATAACAAATCCAACGAAAATTGGAACTCGGCTCTCCGATTAACAATTCCGAGCCATTATCCATTACACCATCCACACATCCAAGCTTACAAAACCTAGTATTCCTAAGCGGTTACCCATCAAGATACTGACCAAGCTCGACGTTGCTTAACTTTGGTGATTGTACAGGAACCAGTGTTTTACTAGGCTATGATGAATATTTTTTTTAATCATGTCACCTCCACAAGCAAGGCAACAAAGCCACTAACACACAGGGAAGGGGTTACTAAGTGAAGAATAAGATAAAAAAAATTATTAAGGAGAGAGGATAATTGCATTTAAATTTTTGGAGACCAAAGCTGATTAGAAAGCTAGAAACCGGGTTTCACAATCGACAAGCATGAGAGAAGAAACTGTGAGCATAGAACTTACGGTCATATCTAGCTGTTTTAATTATAACAAATGTTCAGACGAGATCGAATCTTTAGTTCCACCATTTAAGACCGTCTCATCTAGGATCCAACATACCAGGTAAACAGGTTCGAATCCCCTTCATTCCCTTTGTATTCCATTGGTAAGGAGGAAGATCCACTCAGAGATCTTGTTTCCCAGAAATGCTACTTTGTGCAACAGATTCCTGAGAGGATGCTTTCCTGATCACTAAAATCTTAACCTTTTCAAGTCTCGTGTTAACCTACAGATTCCTAAAATATGCACTTGTTACTTCCCCTTTTTAAACACTTACAATATGACATGCATGGACCTAAACCCGTTCGGAAATATCTAAACGGTCAGCGGTATACAATCAATCCCTAAGAAAAAGAAAGCGAGTAAAGTACGAAGGTCTTAGCAAAGATTATCCTAGACGATGTCTTGCGCATTTACATGCAAAGAAATGAAGAAATGGGCACTGATCCTTTAAGCATTCCATACCACATTTCAAACAAACCTACCAGTAGAAGACAACGACCCTGCTTTCCCTATCGGGGCGAATCTACTGACAATTGAATATATGTGATGCAATGAAAGTAAAGACCAGAAACAATGTATTGAGATTCAGTAAGGAAGACATAAAAAATTCACAACTAAAATGGAGGCCAATGAACCGTTTAATTAATTGGTTCCTTTATATATTTTAGATGTCCTTTCTTGGACTCTCTAGAATTAGGCAACAACAAGTCTAAGAGAAAGGATACATTCAATTCCAAACCGTTAAGAGAGTAGAGGGAAACCAACCCATGAATATTTCCCAACAATATATGGAAATTCACAGATAATAAGGAAAAGCAATCTGTGGAGAGTCATGATCACCTACGTCATGAATTGATATAGCATGAATAAAACCATATCGTTGGGGTTATGAGGCATTTGCTTGTCTGATTAGAGGATCTAAGGGAAAATAAAGGCTTTATACTGACTATTGTTAAAATGTCATATTTTAGCCTTATGTGCCACTAGGGAGAGCCAGGCTATGATCAATGATGGAATGAAAGGGTTAAAAGAAAGTAGCAATATTAAAGGAATTGCAATCAAGCTATGATGCATTACTATAGAGGATCTAAGGAAAATAAAGGCTTTATATTGACTATTGTTAAAATGTCATATTTTAGCCTTATGTGCCACTAGGGAGAGCCAGGCTATGATCAATGATGGAATGAAAAGGGTTAAAAGAAAGTAGCAATATTAAAGGAATTCAATCAAGCTATGATGCATTACTATAGAGGATCTAATGGAAAATAAAGGCTTTATACTGACTATTGTTAAAATGTCATATTTTAGCCTTATGTGCCACTAGGGAGAGCCAGGCTATGATCAATGATAGAATGAAAAGGGTTAAAAGAAAGTAGCAATATTAAAGGAATTGCAATCAAGCTATGATGCATTACTATAGAGGATCTAAGGGAAAATAAAGGCTTTATATTGACTATTGTTAAAATGTCATATTTTAGCCTTATGTGCCACTAGGGAGAGCCAGGCTATGATCAATGATGGAATGAAAAGGGTTAAAAGAAAGTAGAAATATTAAAGGAATTGCAATCAAGCTATGATGCATTACTATAGAGGATCTAAGGGAAAAAAAGGCTTTATATTGACTATTGTTAAAATGTCATATTTTTTTAGGGAGAGCCAGGCTATGATCAATGATGGAATGAAAGGGTTATGAAAATATTAAAGGAATTGCAATCAAGCTATGATGCTATAGAGGATCTAATGATGGAATGAAAGATGGTTAAAAGAAAGCTATGATCAATGATGGAATTAAAAGAAAGTAGAAAATTAAAGGAATTGCAATGCTATGATGCATTACTATAGAGGATCTAAGGAAAATAAAGGCTTTATATTGACTATTGTTAAAATGTCATATTTTATGCCTTATGTGCCACTAGGGAGAGCCAGGCTATGATCAATGATGGAATGAAAGGGTTAAAAAGAAAGTAGAAATATTAAAGGAATTGCAATCAAACTATGATGCATTACTATAGAGGATCTAAGGGAAAATAAAGGCTTTATATTGACTATTGTTAAAAATGTCATATTTTAGCCTTATATGTGCCACTAGGAGAGCCAGGCTATGATCAATGATGGAATGAAAGGGTTAAAAGAAAGAGCAATATTAAAGGAATTGCAATCAAACTATGATGCATTACTATAGAGGATCTAAGGGAAAATAAAGGCTTTATATTGACTATTGTTAAAATGGCCTTATGTGCCAAGGGAGAGCCAGGCTATGATCAATGATGGAATGAAAGGGTTAAAAGAAAGTAGAAATATTAAAAACAATCAAACTATGATGCATTACTATAGAGGATCTAAGGAAAATAAAAGGCTTTATATTGACTATTGTTAAAATGTCATATTTTAGCCTTATATGCCACTAAGGGAGAGCCAGGCTATGATCAATGATGGAATGAAAAGGGTTAAAAGAAAGTAGCAATATTAAAGGAATTGCAATCAAACTATGATGCATTACTATAGAGGATCTAAGGGAAAATAAAAGGCTTTATATTGACTATTGTTAAAATGTCATATTTTAGCCTTATATGCCACTAGGAGAGCCAGGCTATGATCAATGATGGAATGAAAGGGGTTAAAAGAAAGTAGAAATATTAAAGGAATTGCAATCAAACTATGATGCATTACTATAGAGGATCTAAGGAAAATAAAAGGCTTTATATTGACTATTGTTAAATGTCATATTTAGCCTTATATGCCACTAGGAGAGCCAGGCTATGATCAATGATGGAATGAAAAGGGTTAAAAGAAAGTAGCAATATTAAAGGAATTGCAATCAAACTATGATGCATTACTATAGAGGATCTAAGGGAAAATAAAGGCTTTATATTGACTATTGTTAAAATGTCATGTTTGGGAGAGCCAGGCTATGATCAATGATGGAATGAAAAGGGTTAAAAGAAAGTAGCAATATTAAAGGAATTGCAATCAAACTATGATGCATTACTATAGAGGATCTAAGGAAATAAAAGGCTTTATATTGACTATTGTTAAAATGTCATATTTTAGCCTTATATGCCACTAGGGAGAGCCAGGCTATGATCAATGATGGAATGAAAAGGGTTAAAAGAAAGTAGCAATATTAAAGGAATTGCAATCAAGCTATGATGCATTACTATAGAGGATCTAAGGGAAAATAAATTGACTATTGTTAAAATGTCATATTTTAGCCTTATGTGCCCACTAGGGAGAGCCAGGCTATGATTGATGGAATGAAAGGGTTAAATGTCAATATTAGGAATTGCAATCAAGCTATGATGCATTTATAGAGGATCTAAGGGAAAATGCTTTATATTGACTATTGTTAAAATGTCATATTTTAGCCTTATGGCCACTAGGGAGATGAGGCTATGATCAATGATGGAATGAAAAGGGTTAAAAAAAGTAGCAATATTAAAGGAATTGCAATCAAGCTATGATGCATTACTATAGAGGATCTAAGGGAAAATAAAGGCTTTTATATTGACTATTGTTAAAATGTCATATTTTAGCCTTATATGCCACTAGGGAGAGCCAGGCTATGATCAATGATGGAATGAAAAGGGTTAAAAGAAAGTAGCAATATTAAAGGAATTGCAATCAAACTATGATGCATTACTATAGAGGATCTAAGGGAAAATAAAGGCTTTATATTGACTATTGTTAAAATGTCATATTTTAGCCTTATGTGCCACTAGGGAGAGCCAGGCTATGATCAATGATGGAATGAAAAGGGTTAAAAGAAAGTAGCAATATTAAAGGAATTGCAATCAAGCTATGATGCATTACTATAGAGGATCTAAGGGAAAAATAAAGGCTTTATATTGACTATTGTTAAAATGTCATATTTTAGCCTTATGTGCCACTAGGAAACCAGGCTATGATCAATGATGGAATGAAAAGGGTTAAAAGAAAGTAGCAATATTAAAGGAATTGCAATCAAGCTATGATGCATTACTATAGAGGATCTAAGGAAAATAAAGGCTTTATATTGACTATTGTTAAAATGTCATATTTTAGCCTTATGTGCCACTAGGGAGAGCCAGGCTATGATCAATGATGGAATGAAAAGGGTTAAAAAAAAAGTAGCAATATTAAAGGAATTGCAATCAAGCTATGATGCATTACTATAGAGGATCTAAGGGAAAATAAAGGCTTTATATTGACTATTGTTAAATGTCATATTTTAGCCTTATGTGCCACTAGGGAGAGCCAGGCTATGATCAATGATGGAATGAAAAGGGTTAAAAGAAAGTAGCAATATTAAAGGAATTGCAATCAAGCTATGATGCATTACTATAGAGGATCTAAGGGAAAATAAAAGGCTTTATATTGACTATTGTTAAAATGTCATATTTTAGCCTTATGTGCCACTAAGGAGAGCCAGGCTATGATCAATGATGGAATGAAAAGGGTTAAAAAGAAAGTAGCAATATTAAAGGAATTGCAATCAAGCTATGATGCATTACTATAGAGGATCTAAGGAAAATAAAGGCTTTATATTGACTATTGTTAAAATGTCATATTTTAGCCTTATGTGCCACTAGGGAGAGCCAGGCTATGATCAATGATGGAATGAAAAGGGTTAAAAGAAAGTAGCAATATTAAAGGAATTGCAATCAAGCTATGATGCATTACTATAGAGGATCTAAAAGGAAAATAAAGGCTTTATATTGACTATTGTTAAAATGTCATATTTTAGCCTTATGTGCCACTAG